CCCCCCCCGTCCTGGCGGCCCCGGGGAGCTCGGGTTGACTGCCAGGGTCAAGGCCCTTCTCGACATGGGCAGAAAGCCTACCAAGCCTGTTGGTTGTAGCCGTGTCGGCCTAAGGAAATTAAATAAACATTAATAAACAGACCTCTCGATGGGGTCTGACTGCCCCACGGCAGAACCAGGGTTAAAAAACTTCCACGCGGATAATTGGGGAAGAAAAGCAGGCTGCTGTCCTTCATGTGGACTGACCCATACTTTGCTCCTGGGGAGCACTGAATGTTAGGAGTCTTGTTTTCTGTGTCTGGGACCAAAATACGTCCTAGTGCTTACAGACAACCACGCCAAATGTAACACCTGCTGAGTCATCTATTATCACTAAATGTGGAAGCCAGTATCTCTGTGACTTAATATAAACAACAGAAGGCAGCTCTTAGAAGGGAAAAAAGGTTGCTCTTAGCAGCTTTGTTCGCAGGGAAGAAGGAGCAGTCATAAAGCATGTGAGATTCCTGCTAGTGAAACACGCAGCTAAACCAAGTGCCTAATTTAGGATCTTCTTCCTGTAAAGCAATGTTGCAAAGTGATTAGCTTTTCCCAATTGTGCCTGACAAGACTATGTGTCAGCTCTTAGTTCTCTATAAAACATGAATTATAGTTACTTCCCTAAGGGTAGCACAAGGAGATCTTCATTTGCAATCAAGTTTTTGGTGTTTTTCAGTAGACGATATAGGGTTACACCTGGGCTTGCGCTCTTTCCCCTAAGCCAGGGGTTGTCAACCAGGGGTACGCATACCCCTGGGGGTACTAGGGACAGCCCCAGGGGGTACGCATGGTGGCATGGGGAAGCAGCGTGCAGCAGCATGGAAAGGTGAATGGTGGCGGTGGCTGCTGCATGTAAGCTCCCCACCCCCCGCTGCCATCATTCACCACTCTGCACCACTGCCATGCACCACTTCCCCGTGCTGCCACGCGGTGCCTGCTTCACATCTGTCTGTTCATCAGCACCCCCCTCCCCCTGGTCTGGAAGGGGTTACACTTCAGAAGGGATACCCACCAGAAGGGGTGCACTCCTTTAAAAAGGTTGAGAACCCCTGCCCTAAGCTACAGAATATCACATAGGAGCATAGAAAATTAGGGCTGGAAGGGACCTCAGAAGGTCATTTAGTATCTCTGTGAGCAGTGTTCAAGGCAGACTCGTCCCTGACTAAACTATCTCAGGCAATGTCTGTCTAATTTATCAGAATGGAGGTTTTACAGCTTCTCTAAGTAGACTGTTCCAATGCTTGAACACTCTCATAATCAGAAAATAAATGACTCCTAATCTCTAACCTGAGTTTCCTCTGCAACAGTTTGAGGGCATTGCTCCTAGTCCTATCCCCTACCTACAGCTATATAAAAGAGGGGATCTTCATCTTCTCCATAATCACCCTTCAAGTATTTGAAAACTGTTATCCAATCTCCCCTCAGTCTTTCCTTCTCCAAACTAAATAGTCCTAGCTCTTTCAGCCTTTCCTCATAAGCCATGCTTCCCAGGTTCCTAATCATTTTTGTTACTCTGTGGTGGTCCCTTTCCAACCTGTCCACATCTTTTTTGAAGAGTGGGACCCAAAACTGGACACAGTACTCCAGGTGAGGCCTCACCAATGCTGAATAGTGCAGAAGAATCACTTCCCTTGATTTGCAATTGACATTCCTGTTAATACAACCCAGTAGGGTGTTGGTATTTTTTGTGACAAGAGCACACCACTGACTTATATTTAGTTTATGGTCCACAGGAACCTTCAGGTCCTTATCTACAGTACTGCAGCCTAGCTACTCATTCCCCCATCTGTGTTTGTGCATGCAGGTATTCTGTTCTAATGCAGGAATTTGCACTTGTCCTTGTTCAATCGCATCTGACTGATTGTGGACCATTTTTACAGTCAATCCAGGTCATTCTGTGTTAGGGACCAAGTTGTAGATGGTCTTGCCTAATGGTTAAGCCATCGACAGAAGGCAGGGGCTGGGTCGGAGTTTGGGAGCGAAATCACCAGGTCTGGAGGGAAAATCCAAGAGCAGAGTCCAAAAACAAAGGTCAGGGTCAGAATCAGGATCTAGAAATCAGAAGCCAAGTTACCAAATCTCAGGAATAATCCACAGGTCAAAGTCTGAGAACAGAGCCAAACTGAGGTCAGGAGCCAGGAAAGCCAGTGAGCACAGCAACCAGAAGGCTTGCCCAAGTAGACTGGATCAGAACTGTTGACTGGCCTGGGACTCTGCTGCTGGGGCAACATGGATGGGCAGCACACTCAGGCATGAATCAGGAAGTCAGTCATTCACCTGGGCCAGAGCTTGTCAGCGAGAGACTTATGGCAGGTGGGGCTGCCCAGGCAATCAACCCAGGCTGGGCTGCCTGGTTAGGGTCCCTGACATTCTGGATCCTAGGCCCACTCTCCAGAGGCTCTGCAACTCTACCCAACTTGATGTCATCTACATATTTGCTAAGGGTGCTCTCAATCCCATCATCCAAATCATTAATGAAGATGTTGAACAGTACCAGACCTAGGACAGATGCCTGGGGACCCCCACTAGATTTATTCTTCCAACTAGAGACTGAGCCACTGGGGACTACTCATTGAGCACAATGATTCAGCCAGTTTTGTATCCACTTTACAGTACTTTAGTCTTGTCCCGGGCTGGGCAAAATACGACCCATGAGCTGGATCTGGCCCGCCAGGCAACTCTGTCTGGCCCATGGGGCCCCTGCATAAAACAACCAGCCCATGGCTTCCCTTCTGAAAGCCAGTGGGAGGTGAGCTTTCAAAGGTTGCGTGCCATTGGATCGGGCAGGCTTTGTGCTTCCACCTCTGTGGGGCTCCTGGCACTTCATCTGGGAGCCCCATGTAGAGGCACTGAATGTGATGGCACACTATTGGACAGCTGGTGAGTGAGAAGGAGAGCTCCTGCCTGCAGAAGTGGGGGTGGGGTTTGTGGGTGGGGGTGGGCCCCTCTGCCATGGTGCACAGCTCCTGCTGGCAGTGGCAGCAGCAGGTGGTGGGCCCTCAGGGCTTTCCTGGCCCGCTGCAGGCAGAGCCCCCCAGCAGTGCACAGCTCTGGCTGAATCCTGAGAGCTGCACGTGGTGGCATGGAGCCTGCCCAACCCTGCATGCTGGTGCACACCTTTAAAACAAACAAGGCTGGCTCCATGCCAACACATGGGGCTCCTGACACTGCAGGTGGGAGCTGCATACCATTGGGCCAGGCTGATGGTGCAGCTCTGTGCCTCCATGTGAGACTTCCACCACTCCAGTGGGGAGCCGCATGTGGTCACACAGAGCCTGCCTGGACACCCACAAAGCCCCACATCCCTTCACAAACCTCACATACACGCACCTCCACAAATCCCACCCCTGCCACACACACACACACAATATACAAGAATCAAATTTTATTTTGAGCTATTATGTAATGACCTCTATGTACACTATACAAATAGATCTAAATCAGGACAAAAATATTTTAAAATAAAATTAAAATATGTTATAGTCGATGTTTAATTTTTAGTATACGATTTTTTTTTTCAGATTCCAAGGTGGCAAACTCCCTCTCCCAAAAGGAGTGCTTCTGGCAGTGGGGGGGAGGGGGGAGGGGTAGAGGGGAGGGTGGACTTCTGGTGGCAAAGATCAGGCATGACTACTAGCTCTTCGTGAATTCATCAGGGCCGCCCTGAGGGTTTATGGGGCCTGGGGCAGGTGTGATGTCGGGGACCCCACCACTGTGTATGTACAAGGACCCGTGTGTGTACAAAGCTGAGGGACCACGTGTGAGAATTCTTGCACACACACATCACACGTAAGAATTCTCATATGCGACTCCTCCCTCCCCTCCCCTGGGAAGTGGAAACAAGCAGGCTTTCTCCACTTCTTCTCGTGGCAAGGAGGGCTAGGCAGAGAGAATTTACCTTGGAGACAGGTTACTATAGCAAACTGACATTAACAGTTTGCAAGTGAAACATTTATTAAACTTATGCTACAAAGTTAGGAATTTAAGAATAAAATGAGGAGGAAAAGTTTTAGTAAAGTATTTTTTTCTCACCATCATGGATGCAAAGTCATCAATTACATCATTATAATTTATTTGCTTTGCAAGTACGTTCTTCACTGAGAGCATGATCAAATGGTTCAGCCTATCCTCCCTGATCGCTGACCGCAGGTAGTTCTTAATAATCTCAAGCTTACTAAAAGTGCATTCCCCGGATGCAAAGAGACTGGCAAGGCAATGAGCATTCTCAAGCAAATGCATATCTGAGAGAACGCAGATTCTGTACCTTTGCCATAAATCTGGTTGAGAAGCTCAGGTGCAGTGCCCATGGCTCCTCCAGAGGTGCACAAATTTGAGTCTTTCCTGATTTTGTAAAATAGGCAAAGCTCTTCTTGCAACTCATCCTTGTTCACATCTCGTGGGTATGTGGTGGACAGGGATTCTGCAAACTTCGCAATTTCATCATCCTCTGCAACAGCTGGTGGGTCAAGTATGGGTGAAAACAAAGCTTGAGAGTTCC